CATCATGCCACTTTCCCTTCCATACTGTTATTGCCTTGCCTGCTGAATCTGAATTTTAAACTGTGCGCTACCAATTATTTATTATTCTCAGTGTAGTGGCTGGTACAGTTGCAACACCTCTGCTTCTGAGTGTTCTTGTAATATAGGATAAGGTAAGGCAGAGAGTGAGAGAATTTAATTTGGAAACAATTAAAGCTTTCACCTCCTAGTTTTCACCTTACTTGTGTAAGGTTTTGAACTGGCAAACAGGTGCAAGAGATCCAGAGCAGTGAATAGGGGCTCTCTGTAAAACTGACCATGATTTGGAAGATAGGGGTATTCTTACAGTGAAAGGAAAATGAAATTGAGGCAATTTGCAACAGTGAAACAGCAGAAAGGAATGCAATTCTTGGAAAATTTTAGAAAGCCAAAATAGAAGTCTCTTAGTTAACTCTCTCATATTTGTCAGTTTTCTTGCACTCTTAACTTTCTTAAATGTGCAAGATGTAGAAGTAAAAATTTTAGAAGTCCAAACTCCACAGAGTAGAGCAGTGGTGAGAATTATTTGTGACACTGCAGATGAGAGATATTTCATCTGTAAATATGATTAGTAAATAGATAGCATTCATTTATAATTACAGAATTGAATGAGTTCTACACAAATGAAATAACCAATATATAAAAAGGTTATTTTGCCCATAAGTAGAGCTAAAGACTGTCATTTGTGCAATCACAGATTCTCTTTGGGATTTACTCCTCCTCACAGAAAACTACCTATGCTTGTGCTTTCTATATCTGCACAGTCTGCAAGCACCTTGTAATCACCCTGGTTGCACAGCTAGTGCTGGGAAACTTGGATTCCTTTCTCTGTGCAAATACACTGAATATTTTTGTGGTTTGTGACTGAATATTTCTGTGCCTTGTGCTGCTTGCCAATGGCAACACTTGTGTTATAACACTTATAAGTGTTGCTACTGATGCCCTACAGGTTTTGCATAAAATCAGAATATTGCTCTTTTTTGTGATACAGAAACTTGATTTGGCCTGAATGTGTGAAGATAATTTGGCTGCATGTATTACCTGTTGATTTTATTTTTTTGGTTGTTTGTTTTGTTTGGGGGGGGTGTGTGTTTGTTTGGTTTGTGTTTTTGTTTTGTTTTGTTACCCTTGAACATATTGTTCCAGTCATATCTCTTTAGTATATCTGGTCTAATTATTATTTAACTATTTGACGTTATATAAGCTGCTGGTTTAGCAGGATAATTAAAAATCTCTTAAATCAAATACATACTAAAAAGATTAAAAAAAACAAACCAGAGAATGAGACATCTGTTTAAATCTGGTTTTGAACAGTGTCATGAAAATAAAAACTGTGAAAATCTTACAAAATATTTTTTCCCTCAGAATCCTATTGTTATTTAGTGAATATTTTGTTTTCTGAGTAATTAGTAATAATCTTTAACTATTCTACAGTTTCTGTGTTTTGTGCTTTGTCACTATATCACTCCTGTAATTTTGTCAGCACATGAACTGCATGATACAGTGTTTCTTTCAAGTTTTATTTTGGTCAACTGTTCTAGCCTGTGCCAAAGAGAGCATTTTTTCCCCAGAGTAATATGATTTTTTCTAGACTCTCCTAAAAGCTTTACTGGCCTTTGCTCTGGTGTGCCAAGAGAGGATGAATTAGGTAGGGTGCATGTAACTAAAACCACTCACTGAGTATGCTAAAACAAATGTGTGCTTTACCATATATAGAAACAAAATCCTTTGTGAACTCAGACATTGTGTAAATCATATTATTTATGCTGTGGAGGCAATATGTCGGTGGCACTGACCATAAACTGAAGACCTGTATGCTTTTTATTTCAAAACTTCATGCGTTAAGCTAAAAAGGAATAATCTGTGGAAATATCTTGTTAACAATTTCAAAAGAAGCTATCTGAATAGCCTTCTTGGATGACAGACGTTTAAAAAAAGAAACAGAAACTGGCAAATCTGCAGCGTACATTGCCTTTAGTGATAAAATTTGCTGGATACAGGCCAACATGTGTTTTATTTCCCACCATTTTATTTATAAATGTCTGAATGCACTAGGTAAATAATGGTCTTGTCCTTGTGTAAAAGCCCCCTAAAATGGAGTTTAAATCAAGTGCATGTGTTTTACAAGCAAGTCAGATCTGCACAGCTGCACAGTTGTTTCCTTTGATATGGTTTATAGAAATTTGAACCGTAAGTCTTGATCAAACAACTCTGAGCGTTGAAATATCTGAAACCGGTTCAAATTCTGAGACTGGATAAGCAGTCAGTAATTTAATTTATTTTAAGAAACCTTTCCTCTATAAAGCTTGCAAGCAGTGCTTCAAGCTTTGGGTGCTTTAGAAGGCATCGTGATGCAGTGGAGGAGATCAATTGGTACTGAGGATCTGGTACCTTTGTTTATACATGTTTCAGGGATGGTCTGTTCAGTTCTATTTTGATTCTATGGACTGAGTTCCCATTAGTGGTTGGTGTGCATTAGCAGTGCTCCCAGAAAACAAATTCTGGCTGAATTTCATCCTAAAGGAAAACACTCTGAAGTTGTTGTGTGATATGAACCATAATGCAGTCAGTGGGAATAACACAGGGTTTATTTCAATAGCATGCTTCTGAACTGAACAAAAGTGCTAGTCTAATTTTTTAAGTGATGAAATGTGGTTGAAAAAAATTAGAGAAGCTATTTAGTTGATGAAAGCAGCATAGTTTCTCTTAACTGATTTAGAGAAATTTTTAAAGTTCCAGATTGTTGGCAACACTTGAAAGACCAAAAGATCAAATTTGTCGTGTAACAAGTGATACGAAAGTACCATATAAATTAATATGTGTGTTTTCAAAGGCAATTCTTGGCTTCCTCCTGTGGAGTATTACAGTTTCATAAGTTTTTATCGCTGCTGTTAATGAAGCAGTAGCATAGCTGAGGAAAGCTTTTCACACCTGTTCATCAGTATCTTAAGAGTCGAGATAACAAGCCTATGAGGTCACACTTCCTACCTCTCTCTCCATCTAAAAATAAATGCCATGTCTGCTTTTGGCTTTTAATTTATGTAAGAAAAGTCTAGACACAGCTGAGAGGCATAGCAGCATCGAGCTAGCATGATTGATTGGCTATGTCATTCTGAAGGCAGAGGATTAAGTGGGTTGTTCTTCAGCTGGACACTTTGTTAAGGATTTGTGCCATGAATCACTGAAACCCTACTGAGATAAGGAATTTGGCCTTGAGCACGCCATAGGAAGAATTGTATCTTCCTCTCACATTTAAAACTCTATATTCAGTTCTCCCAGACTGAAGTGACTGTAGGATGAGATTTCCTATTTTTCTCCTCTATTGGGGTCAAGGATTTCAGAATCTGCATTAACTGAAAATCGTAGTTTCCTTTATGTTACATTGATGTAAATGTTTTCTTATAGGTTGGTACTTGCAATTAAATAGGCCTACCTTCTAATTCTATCAAAGTCACATCCAACTTCAGACCTCTCAAAATAACACTACATGATGATGCAATATCATTGAACTTCCCCCAAAGTTTTAGCATCAGGTCACATTCCATGACTTCCTTGTAACATAACAGTTCTTATATCTGCATTTCCAATTTTCACACATTTGTAATGAGCATGTTTGACGTGCTAAAGAGAGCAGGTTTAGGTGTTTAGTTTTGAAGGCACTTGATGTCATTCTGTTTTAGAAAGCCTAGGTTATGTACTCAAATGCCTATTACAAAAATTGCCTTTTGTTCTTGACAGGGGTTTGATAAGTCTGAAGCAAACTGCTTTGTCAGGGTGAAATGCCAAACTTCTATTATTTTCAAGTCACTTGACACTCACACTTTCTCATTTTCCATAACAGTTGAAAAGAAACACAGAATATTTATTATATGTAATAGATTTATTTTTACCTTTAGTTACGTACAAAGGCACAAACATTAGACAAACATTTTAAAACACCAATGACATTTTAAGTTTGTAAAAATAGACATTATATGCACTCTCACTTTCAAAAGGATTTTCAGAATTGTGGGCTTTATTAGTGGGAAAATATTAATACTATCTGTAGCCTCCATGATACCTGAAGAGCAGAATTATGTTTTGTGCCCAAAAATATTTCAAGAACTAACCTCAGAAAGGGTGCAACATTTTTTTTGTCTGCTTTTGATATACAAATGTAAATAATAAAGGTAGTGACACACACATTTTCAAAACTCTTAATTCTGAAATAATACTTTAAGACATTCTGAAAAGTCTTTGAATATGTAGATGTTGTATTTCAATCTTTGGGACTTGTGAATTTTTAAAATAAATTTAAAGTATGTACAGTTTCTTATTTTGAGTTCATATTCTACTTACATTTTAGAGTTTCTTATGTTGTAGAATGGGAAAAGTATATAAAGTTATTATTTTTTGTTAATCTTGTAGACTTGATATAAAAATTTTTTAGATTATTCTACTTTAAATTGGATTCAAAATACCAATTCAATTTCTGACTTGTGTTGATATTATCTGTAAATGCTAAGGTTTGTTTTGCAGTTAGGTGTGTTTATGTAGCTGTCAGCTACCTGAAAGCAATGTAGCCCTTGACAAATATCAGGAATTGATGACAAAAATGTATTCTTTCAGCCTATGTTTTTTTTTTTTTTTTCCTTAGGGCTTCACTAATTTTTTTATAACAGATCTTTCCTTTGCATATTTTAATTACCAATTGTTTTTAAAGTTGTCCAAGCTTTAATTTTCCAGCAACAAAGATATTATGATGATGTTTCCCCTTTGTTTCTCTTATGGAAATTAAAAGATGGAGATGAAAAAATGCAGTATAATTTTCTGCAGAAAGGTTTTAAAATTTTCCTTCAAACTCAATTTGCAGTGAGTTCCTACTAGAGTGTGAGGTTTTCTTTCCCCCAAAAACAATGTATAGGTGTGCATGCCTCAGAATAATTTTTTGCTAAGTTATGTGAAAGATCATGCCATTGCAAATCATTAAGACAACGTAGAACTTTTGTTTTGCTTCATGTTAACCAGTCTTTATTATACTAGCCATTTTATTATGTGACTTGACATTTATTCTTCATCACAGTTGCTGCAGCAGAAAATTAAGGCAATATAACCCCAAATTAAAAGCAAAGTAAGCAAAACCTATTTGGGGTGCACATTAATGCTGGTTGAATAATAGATAGCTGAAGCAGACATGAACAACTGCTTGTTTCGTACTATCCATGTAAAATAGCTGCTTTTTAAGTGACCTGTCAAGCCTCTACATTTGTAGACTGTAAGACTTTGATGGTGTTGGTGTTTGCATAGATACTTAATTTATGTTAGAAATAATGCCTTGTTTACAGTGCTTATTATCTGTTGTAGCATTCATGTAATACCTCAGCTGTTTCACTTTTTGTATTCCAGGACAGCTGTTTCATTTTATACTTCCTTGACTTACATTGACAACTTCAAAGACAATATTTTAGCAGAATGTTGCTGGTATAGTATGCTACTGCTGGCTAATACAGACTTCCACCTCCCCCAGAATCCCCCAAGGGAAGGTTTAAAAGCTGCTACTTTGGATTTAGGCAGAAGTCCTGACACTGGTACTGCAGTTTCTAAGCTGGAAATGGCTTTTTGTGTGCATGCATATATCTGTGTGTCAGCCTAAGACTAGCATTTTGGGTAAACGGTGACTGTTTCGTATCCCTCTGGTGGCCTCATCCGAGCTCGTGCATGAGCTTCACAGTACAGCTGGCCCTCCACAAAGAAGTAACCTTTTTGTTTCAGGTTGAGGTTGCAGTCAGAGCACACAAAACATTCTGGGTGCCGGTATTTATCACGTGCCTTCACCACTGTTCCTCTGTATGGAAACAATGAAAAGAAAAAAACCCCAATTAATTCATATGAACTTAAAGTGAGAAGAAACCGCAGCAAAGTTGTCAAGTGGAAGGCATCCCTGCCCATTGCAGGGAGGTTGGAACTAGATGGTCTTTAGGATCCCTTCCAATTCAAACCATTCTATGACTATGATTCTATGATACCCTATGACACAAAGAATGTTCTATGTATTTTTTTTAAGATTGTTCATCTGGCGGTGTTGGAAACTACTATATAATTTAAGTTTGGATGCTGAGTTTGAGTAAGTGACATAAAATGCTGTAGGGTTGATCACATAGTTCATTAGTGCATTGGAAAATTAAGAGTATAAAGAAACATGTTAGTTTGGTTACAAGACAGAAAGTACATCCTAACCTATCAAAAGAGTGACAAGATGACTACATTCCTTTCTTTAGTGACTGTGTTCTCTGAGTTCATAATTATCTGTGTTTGCTGAAGTTAGTGATTCAGGTAGAAATCTGGTATTTTTGAAATAGGGTCACAGAGCTTTCTGGATACTCCCACTGGGTTGGGAGAAGGGTGCTTTGCACTACCAAGAAACTTCTGAGAATTCACAGCCTGAGATAACACAGCACAGATAACTGCTGGTTACATTATGTGCGTGTTAATGGTTGGCTTGCAAAAGGTCCTGAGAAATCTCAATTAAAACCTTGACGGTAAGTTTTCAAAACCGAAATAATCTGTATCACAATTGTTGAAGGTACAGGTTAATAATTAGAGACTGAGAAATCACTTGAGCTAGAGATTTCTAAAAACTAAAAAGAAACAACTTACAGAATCCCATTCCCGCACTTGTCACACAGTGGCACTTTCTGGACACCAGGCATGGCAGTAGGTGCCTTTGTTACAGGGGCTTTCACACTTCTTGTGCCCACGGGGCGCCCATCTGAGGAACAAAACAACCCGGTTATGTATTGGCTGATATAAAAGTGTCTGATGCAGTAAGTACTTTTCCTGTAAATATACTTCTGGATGTATTTACAGGCTTTCACTTACATCAACAAACAGTGCTGTTTCACTATAGTGAAGAAGCTTTAGTGGGCCACATTCCCCCTCTCTGTAATCAGGAAACATGTTGTGTAGCCGTAGCCAAAAAGCAAGTACAAAATAGATTATATATGCAGTGCTCTCTGTCTCATGGACATCATCTAACTCTCTGTTAGTAGGTCTTGAATATAGCAGGAGAGAGAGGAGGCTTAAACATAGCAATGTAGCAAAATCAAGACCTATTGTTAGAAAGCTTCTTATTTATATAAATTACCATACAAAAAAATAGGGATGATGAGTAGCATGATATGAATACAGAATATTAACAAAATACAAGAGAATGCTGAGAAAAACCCCAGAATTTTATATATATATATAATTAGATGTATTTATCCCTTCTCTGGTACATATTGAAACATAAACATTAAAATTTAAAATATTTGTCTTTTAGGTTATTATTGTTTTATTTTACTCTTTATGCTTACTGTAAATATAACAAACTTGCAGTTTTAGGGATTTTATTTCCATGATGTCTTCATTTGAAGGAAATATGACTGTAAATTATATTGTCTTCTTCAGTTTTTATTTAGAATGAAGACACAATGGGTTTTAAGGGGATTTTAACAGCTGGTTTTAATTCCTCTTTTCCTGAATGTGGAAGAGAGCGTTTTCTTTCTTGGTGTCACGAGTATAAGGAGCTTGTCCCAAAAATTCTCTCACGTAAAACTTTTCATTGTTCAGTTGAAGTTAGCCATACATTAATGATCTTAAAAGCCGAGAAGATATTCTGAAAAAGGTGATTAACACCTCCATTGTATTCACAGAGGAGATTGCTAGCTATACAAGCAAGGAGGGGAAATAACAGGAGACTGGTGAGATAAATTATAAGATACGGAACGATTTAGGCTTTCAGCAATTCTTATATCTCTGATCTCTCTTATTTTCTTCTCAGATTGCCCCTTTCCCACAAAAATTTTAAAATTATTTGAACAGGTAGAATATGTCATTATTAACCACCTTCCTCGGAGACTAAATTCTGGAGCACCTTAAAGGAGCCAGACTGGCGCGGCTGACTGGGCTCCTCCTGGTTGGCATGGAGCATCTTGTACACGTCAGATTGAGTCACTGAGTTGGAAGATTGGTCACTGTAGCAAAGGGAGGAAGAGCAGATAAGCAGTTTTAAAAACATAATTTTAAAGCGATAGCTCTACCAGGCATAGAGTATGTTCAGGAAACAAACATAAAGACAGTGTGTTTTGACAACTACTGAAAGACATTGCTTTATATAGCCTCCTTCTTATCTAAAGGAAAAAAATTAAATCAGTGCAATTGTTACAAAAATAAATCTACAAGCTCATGAGAGTATTTCCATAATTGCTGTTCTGGTTCTACTGACATTTGGAAATAGGCCGTTTAACCTCAAAATAGTTTCATTCCTGTAATCATCTCCTGTATTACCCGGTGCTCATTGGTAGGGTAGCCAGAAGTTCCCTTTTCGCAGCACCTGGCCTCGAGAATATTGTTAAAATCACAGCTTATACTTTCACATAAGGTCAGCCAAAAATGTAAGCAGACAAATCTTTTGGGAAAATATGACTTCTAAGTTTGCTTGATCACTAGATTTTCAAACTACTACTGGGGCTAATTAGGAAGGTCCAAATTTACTTTGATGAAGTCTGTTATCTTACTGCTACACACACAAATGTCTGGTTTAAATTTCCTTTTGCAACTGCCCGCTTACTTTCTGTAAATTCTTAGGTAAGTTGCCACTGGAACTAAGTAACCAATTCCACAAAGAATTAGACTGGGTTTTGCTTTAAATGGTTTTGTTTGTTTCTCAGGGTAGCATCCAAGCTGCCAAATGGCTCAGTAAGAGCAGCAGCAGTTGGGCAGTGACCCCTGTTGCTTATGTGAATTGTTTGCATCTTCATCATTCAGTAGATTTCTTTGAGCTGTCTTTAATCTGTTGAAGAAACTACAATTTCCTTTTTTTTTTGTCAGAAGCTTTTAATGAATACAAGTAGTTTAGTTTTTACTGTTCTTGGCAATGATTAATTAAACCCTTGAATTGTATCCTCTTAACTAAAATATTTCTGAAGATCAAACAACTGATAATGCAATTACATACAGAAGGCAAACAAAAAAACCCCAGACACAAATGTGTGAGATTACATTTCTAAATGCACACATAGTGAAAACCAATCCCACAACAAAAGAGACGTTTCAAATGTGTAGAGAGTCAGTTCGCAAACTGTCAATGTCACAGGCAGTGTGAAATCTGGTTACTTTGGGTTTAATAATTTATTTTAGAATAAAGAAGAAGCAAATTTTTCTTTTATTGTTCTGTAGTTGTTCTGGTTGAGGATAAATATTCAGGCACTAGAGTAACTTCACTTGCAAAGACTTCCTGAACTAGTCTTCTTTTCATCGGATAGGATGAACTTAAATACTTCTATACAAATATGGCTTTTTTGGTTAGTAACAGCCAAATTCTTTGAGGTGTGAAAGAAGGCTCATTGGTGCCAGTGATTATTGCTTATTTAAAATGTTAGTAGCTAGTTTTAGTTTATACCATATATATTATGAATTATTAACTACTGCTGTAAAACAGAAAAATAAGTTACTATTATGCAAAAGTAAAGATAAAGGAATGTGACTGGTGAAGGATCCCTTGGAAAAAATGAATAATGCCTTAAACCTTGCATTGTATAATCATAATTGTTATCCATATACATAAGATTCCTACCTGACTTTTAGTCATGCAATGGATAAAATTCATAAGTTGGACATGGATTAGCAGGCCTACAGTAAATTCTGCCTCTTTTTGTGTGAGACCTAGTTGTACTGAATGAGTTGTCCTGAACAAGAATTAAATATCTGGAACACTATAAACATCTACAAGATTTCCTAGTCTTCCTAGCCTGGAATTCAACAGTGGAACTAAATTTTATTTAATAATATTTTATGACTTAATAGCAAGAGAAAATTATTAAATTGTTATCAGATAAATAATTATAATAATAATAAACAGGTTTGAATTTTGGAGGGAAGCAAAATCTTGATTTGGATTGGTCAGTCAGCTAAGAGTCCAGGTAATGTAATCAGTTTTTATTTATTAACCATAATTAGAAGATTATTACCTATGAATTATTTAATTGTAAATTCTGAAGGACTCCTTTAGTACTTTGGGTTAGAAAATGGAAATGACTGATATTTTAATGAAAATATTGAATGTTTTTAAATACTTAGTTTCTCTCTAACCCTTTTCCCCTTTTCCATAAGAAAGAGTGTGATATTACTAGAGCTTGTGATGTTTGGCATATTTTAAATTTGTATATTCATAAATATGAAAGATACTGCACTAATTACCTTATGACAGGTGATTCCCCCAGAGCTGTAGAAACTTGGCCTTGCAGTGTTTCCATGATATTGTCATCTGAGTACAACTGCATGGGTGTGTTAAACTGAGCGTGTACAATCTTGACACCAGGAAGCTCCATTTCCAAGGGAATGTTAGGGGCCATCTTAGACACTGCCTTCAGCTCGGTGGGGCAGATAGAGCTAACCGTGCTAATTGAAGAGGGGGTACTGCGTCCACTGCCACAGTCCATCCCCGAAGGAGTGCTGCATCCGCTGTGTTAATAGGCACGTTACAGAAGAGTGCGCAGTGTGCATTGGATTATAGAGAATAAAGACAAAAGTACAGAGATACGGTGATGTTAACAGGCCTGGAAAGCGTGAATGGAACAGAGACAGAAAAGCAAAAGTATAGAAAGTAGAGAAAAGCAAAAGTAGTCACTGAAAGGAGTTTTCCTGCAAAAATTATCAATGCCAGTCATAAAGCAGTCCTTGAAATTCTGGCATGCATGTGGTCTTTAAAGATAGTAAAAATCCACTGATAGGTTGAATAAGTCAGAATGTAACATCACTTTACATTTGTAATGCTAGGTTTTATTGAGGATTAATTAAGCCTGCCTAAAATGCTTTGGTTTTAACATCTATAAAACGGTAGCACACAAAGGTTGTGTGAGTTGTCCATGCAGTGACAGAATAAGCACCTCCAGCAGTGAAATCCTAGGCACATCATTCCAGTTCTATACCTCACAACTATCTCAGCCCATAGTTGAAAAGACTCCTATAAATTAGTGTAAAATAATGGGTGTGGCATTTTTTAGATTTCTTTGAATTCTACAATAATTTATTTATTAATATTTTAAGATTAGTTTAACAATTAAAAAGGGATATATTTGTTTAACATTACAAAGAAGAAGAGATACTAAAGCATCCAGGCTTACTTTTGCTTTTCTAAATTACAGTCTTTCCAGTAAAACGTGAAGTGGTCCTTCACAAGAACAATGGGTTTGTATTCAGAGAATTAATTTTTCCTGCTTTTGAAGTAGACTTTACAGTTAATTTATATATAAAAAAAAAGATGTATGCATTTTAGAAATATTAATTTTGCTTGACATTACTGAAGTTACTGTGCAATTCAACATACCTGGAAAAAGATTAGCAAAAAATGTGGACATTAGGCCTGGAGTCTTTTTCGAGGTCACTGTTTTATACAGTTCAGTCTTCTCTCCATAGCACCTCAGAGGCTTTCTTTGTTATGGAGTATTTCTTTGCTGTTGCTGTGTAACAGCACGTAACCAAGGCTTTTGCACAGTCACTGGTTATCATTTACGTGATATTCAGAGCTGTGAGACAATAAATGCTTCAAATACATCCTCCAACCTTCCTATCAGGGCTGTAGTTAGTTTTTCCAAGCTGATGATTCTGTGTAAACCTGGGAGAATGCTCTATTTCCCAGTTTGATAGTACAGTACTCCGCCCACTAGCTGCTCTTGGGTGGAAAAGACAACCCAAAATTCTGCCCACGATTCAGAGGAGAATTTGTGCGGGACCACTTTCTTAAAATTTTAAAGAGAAATACACACTTTACCATCAAAGACAAGTCAAAAAAAAAGCTTATTCCAGAAATGGTAGGCAAGCCTTAAAGCAAACTGTAATTATGCATAATCACCTAGCATGAGCCAGCCGAAAAAATCCACGCAGGGCAACATTTGAATTCACAGTATTTTCTTTTAGAAGAATCAAACCCACTTGTAGATCCTGCAGTAGGGTAAGTTTTGTCAGTGCCGATAGCGTTAGTAAATGGAAAGCAGCGGGAAAAGACTAGAAAAACCACAACTCTTGCCATGAGCAGCCAAAGTAATGTTAAACCAGGATAAATTATGGTAAACAATAAATAAAATTATATATATAAATGTTATATATTAAATGTAATCTCCTGTTAGTTTTGCCAGAATAAAGCCCAAAATTTTGGCTGATGTCTAACCCCTTAGTTCTAACGCCCAGTCCACAATCAGGTCTACTTTGCAAAGTCCTATTTAGACTCAGCTATCTGTCCTAAAAGGATAGGTACAGTCAAGGTGGTGACTTGCTTTTTGCTGTGTTTAGCAGTGGGGATGTATTTAGCCAGACTAATGAAAAAGTAGCACCCAAACATCGTGACAACAAATTTTCGTAGATGTAACACGCTGTGTCAGAGACTGTGCAGTTTGCAAGTGCAGGCCTCTCCAGTGCTGACAGACCTTGCCCGACTGAAGTTCTGAAACCTGTTGCATTACTGTCAGGGCAGTTTTTGCAGTTTATTTTCCTTATCTGACCTGCTGGAAAATGGCTGTTTACTGGAAAACAGTGTGTAATTGAGGTTTCTGAATTAGGAGATTAGACTCGTGATACATTCATTTGAATCTTCATAAATCCAGTAGGCACATGTAAAACGATACCTAGTGGTCTCAAAGTCAGTTTTAGTACAGTCTGTAAGTGCTACCTATAGTGAGAAACCATGGATGTTTGCTAAGGACTGTTTTGTCCTTGGGCACCTTTTCTTCACTGTGGTAGTGTTCTACATTGATAGTTCTTGTTAGCAGGAGGAACCATCTCCTACAGTCAGATGATGGAAAAATTTAGGCATCTCTCAAAACTGATGATCCATATGCGATTGCCCTTTGTGCGCTGGAATAATTTGTCATCCTGTTTTTTCTGGTGTAGTTCGTCATACTTAAATTAGTATAATTAAAATGCAGGCATTATAGCTTTTCAGACTTAAATGTAGAACACTAATTCCACTAGTAAAAACTGCTACTGCTAGCAAGAATAAAGGGTCACAATGCAATATATTGCATCCCTCATGCCCTTTTGAGGTTCCTTGCATTTTTAGCCACACAGTTTGAATTTGCTTTTCCTCCACTGTATTTAATAATGTAAACAATAGTGGGGAATTTCATCACCAGTTATGATAGAGGATTATTACACTAAAATGATGGATGTAAATGTGTAAGCTTTTCTTCATTGGAGTTTTACATGTCTGTGACATCGGTTTTCCTATTTTATTTCAGCATTAGGTTGTCCTCTGGAAAAAGATCTGCTGAAATGCAAACTTAAAATCTCTGAATGGCCTAGCTTATAATCTGTTTAAGTAGCTATCTTTTATTTAGCAAGTTAACAAATTATATGTATTTGCATTTGGACAGAAGAAGTTCACAGTGCCAAAGATCTATAAGTATACAATATCTGGTGCTACGCTGTAAACTGAATCAGATTAATGGATACAGTTACTCAGATTCTTATCAATATAACTGAGATGGAAGTGTAGACCTGCTTTCTTTTGGAAATAGAAATTTGAATGCCAAGCCTGAGTCTGAGCTCTGTGAGTCAACCATTTCATTTTTTTTGTTCTATTTTTAGTTTTGACATTAGGCTATCTAGAACTGTAAGTAAATTTCAGTTGTATCTATAGGCTTTATTAATGCTAGTGGTGAGTATCCATCCATTAAAAAAAATAACACCATGCATCAAATCCAGCACAGCACTCAAAGTTTATAACCTGCTTCGGCCTGAGATTATGAAAGGTTTGGGCCGAATATTGTGCTTGTGTTCAAAGTAGTTCATATCCTGTAAAGAAAAAAGGATTAAAATATCTTTGTTTGGCCTACAAATGATCATTTCTAGTTAAAATGAAGATAAAAAAGTTTTAAAATTGAAACCATGAAATAACTGTGTTTAGTTTGTTCATTCCTGGTACTCAAAATGCAAACGCCGTAGTGTTCAGGAACATTCAGAGTAAAGTGCAGTTATAAGAGAGATCAGAGGGTAGTGTCGCAGCCCAATGTAGAGTGCAAATGTAAGCTACATGCAAGCATTGCTATTACAGAGCTGAATGGATAGTTCTCAGTGTTGGAAAAAATTGTTTTATTGATCACCATTTTAAAAAGTAATGAATAAACTCCTGATTCTCAGAAAAAAAACATCAAGAGCTGGACTTTTAAATTGAAAACAGAACAGATAATGAAATACCACAAATGACCACGTATTATAAGTAAATATTAGTACTCACTTTTGGGATGAGTTAGGAATGAGACCCCTCAGTTGTCCATGAAGCGCGTCTTGAATATTGCCAGATGAATAGAGCCCAATTGGAGAGTTATAGGAGGAGCTCACTACCTGTCTTTTGTCATCAATATTTGCTGCTGCAACAAAAGGTTGGGCCCTTCTGTTGTGAGCTGTACCAATAGGCTTGAATTCCTGTACGTGATAGGCAGACAAAATACACAGAGCTACAATGCACACCAAAGCTAGTAATGAGTAAAACTGAGAACACCAGTATTGTTAATATGCATTTTTTACTTTTGCAGCTGTTATTTTTTAACTGGTGCAAGCATCCTATATTTTTCCATGAATTTTGTATATGCTACTTAAGCCATACAACTTACTTTCCTGCCTCTGGGCAAACAGAAGGCTTAGAATAAATGGGTGGGATGAATATTATAGTGACCTTCCATATTGTTCTTGAGATCTTTCACTGTTTACATTCTTTTAGAAACATTTCATGGACAGTTAGCTTGTCGGCTTTGCTTTAGTGCTAGTCTCTAGATTCTGCATTTTCATCGCATACTGGTAAAGGGATTCCCAAAAGTGTGACTTTTATTCTAAGTGTCTTGCCTAGAAAGCACATGATTTTAAACTTCTTTTAACTGAAATAGTCTTGAATGTACATCAAATTGAGAATATTTCATCTTTGAAGCATACCTGTGCATCAAAAATTGTGATGCTGGTATAATTTAAACATAATGTGAAATCATCATAAATAAGTAAATCCCAGAAATGGATAAATTTGAAATCATTCCTCCTATGTTTGTTTATTTCTGGAGTACTATTTTTTTTTAATTGTTGTCCAGAATAATTTCCTCCAGTTGTGGAATCCATAAGGGATAAGGTCAGGAAGTAAAACCTCTGATGATCTTTCAGATACTTAAAATCGTCTTCTGTAAGTGGTTGGCCAGGAATGATAAAGACTGTGTGAAAATTCTCTTATTTGTATTGTACACATTTAGTGCAGTCTCCTCTGAGTCATTTTCAGCTCAGGTCCACCCCTAAGCCTCAGGAATAGACTTTGAAAAAAAAAAAACCCTGTCATCCGCTGAGAGCTTATTTTCCTACTACCCTAGTGGGTGAAGAACATTAGCTGCTGCAGTCCATCCAGCTGCTGTGGTCCTGATGTCCTTTGAAAACAGTGCTATGAGAAGTTCCATCCATATGGAATAAAAAGCTTTTGTTATTAACAAATAGGCGTCTACAACCTGAATTGGCATTTTCTGGAACTTGCAACGTCAAGATAGCACAGCTGATTAATATTTCAATTTTCATTGAAATCTCTGCCAGTTCTGTGATTTGGCTTTAGTTTTGAGTGTGATTGTTGTACAGCAGTTTCAGAAATAAATATTTAAGATCAGAATAAGGAAAAGTCATGGATATATGGAATGTGCAACCAGAATATGCAAACAGTAAAAAGTAGTTTTATTAAATGAAAATGTTTAGCAGTATTGCACTGTAAGAGGCTACTGAAAGCAGCAGATAAATGACCACAAAGATTTTATTTGCAATTCCTTCTTTCTGTCTGATAGAACTGAGTTGCAGTTAACAAAATGTATTAGTAAATGGAAATAATCTAATAAGGCTGCTTAATGAAAGATATTAATGTCAAAGTGTTTAAAATTGATTTAAATTCATGTATGATTGAAAATGAACAAAACCAACTGAGAACATTGTAATTTCATCCCCCTTTTTCATTTCCTGTTAAGAAATGAATAGAGGATGAGGTACCATAATAGCATGTTTACAATGTAACAGTTGTGAAACAAGTATTTGCAGTTAGTTAGATTTACGTAGTTTGCTTTATAACTCATCTAATCATATAAAAGGTCAGTGACAGAACATACAGCAGCAAAAATAGTCCAGCTCTTGTGTTTACTGTATCTCATCAAATCTGTAAAAAGTCCTCTTTTAGTTCAAAAGCTAAATGAGAACTGAAAGTTGTTGAAATTCCTAATCAGGAATATTTGAAAATTGCAGTACTTAATTTCTTATTTTTATTTTTTTTCCCCAACTGATTGATGTCCTTTTTGCAGGGTTAGCTACATTTTTGCATTGATATAGGTATCAGGAATAGAATTAATGTAGCCTTCAAAGTCTGTAGGAAGGCATCCAACACAGACCATATGATGGCATTCGTTGGGGTAATTGCTGTGACAGAATACAAATGTGTACATTTTGGAGATATCATGTGGCTAAAATCTTGATCTTTAAATGGTGTTAAAAAGAAGGAGTAGGTCCTCAAAACTAGCTAGGACAATTATATTGTTTCAAAAGTTGATTTTAAGTGGTAACTGGCTATAAAGTTACTTTTTAGGAGAGTGGCTTGTATTTTTCTTAGATTATACTTATCTATGTGCAGAGTATATCTCCCAGGAATGTATAATGTCCTTCAGGGCCAAAAGTTTCACTGAATAAAATGTTCAAAGGCAAAGATAGATGCAAATGAGAAAAGCTCAAATAAAAACAATTCAAGAAATCGTGGTAATGAATATAAAATAATTTTCAGTGATGTTAAAGGGATCATAAAAGAAAACATTTACATATTATTTTACATTGACAATGTAACAGAAACTATTTAAAAAATAATTTTATAATTTGCCTTTTGTGAAAGATTTGCTTTCTCATTATATTCATTGAGACCTGCATGTACTAAGTTGCTTTTATACAGAATACAATGTGACTGTGTTAGTAATTCTTCAAGTGGTCTTTTATTTCCTATTATTTATCCATCACAGTATAAGTTGCTCCAGACTAACAAAATTAGGGTGGCTGTTTTTTACATGGGAATGTGTAGCTTTCAAGAGTCATTTTCAGTCAGCCACTTATTGCTGTAAGTTGGAATTGTTGCCTCAGTTTCCTCTTCCAAGGGTTTAAAAATAGAGCTTTCACTGGGCTCTGAAAGTTGCCTTTATCAGTCCCCAAATGGTTCCTGGGAGATGCTCAGCCTGATACAGAAGTTTGTTACCGTATAAAGATTCCTTTTTCCATAGCTGCAAGTAGGAACAATATTTAGTTGTCTTATCCATTTTCATATAACCATATCCAAGCATGTGTAGAATAATTTTCATCTGCTGAAGATAAAGTAAGTAAGTGTTCTTTGGCCAAATAGTTGGCCTAAGTCTGAAAAATTTAAAATAGGTTTTACATTCCTTTTATTACTTTATCTTTTTTTTTTTTTTACTTTATTTACTATTATCTTTTATTACAAACAGAAACTAGATACTTATTAAGAATATTGGTTAGGTCTTCATCTGTTTTTCCTATTTAGTTGGCTTATAATACTTTTAAATGACTGTCTCCTCTTAACTTTCTTGGTGAATTTTAAAATGTCTGTTTGGCAAGAGTTAAAAAAATCTGATTACATTTATAAGACCTATGACCTTTTGAGTAATTTTAATTATTATAGAAATGGAGGAAATATAACTCAGTGGTTTCCCATTTGTGTACACCAGTCACAGAATCACAGAATCAACCAGATTGGAAAAGATTTCTGATCCAACTTATGATCTAACACCACCTTGCCAACTAGACCATGGCACTAAGTGCCACATCCAGTCTTTTCTTAAACACCTTCAGGGATGGTGACTCCACTAGCTCTCTGGGCAGCCCATTACCAGTCACTCTTTTTATGAAGAACTTCCTCCTAATGCCCAACATAAACCTCCCCCAGTGCAGCTTAAGACTGTGTCCTCTTGTCCTATTGCTGGTTGTCTGGGAGAAGAGACCAACCCCACCTGGCTACAACCTCCTTATAAGTAGTTGTAGAGAGTGAAGAGGTCTACCCTGAGCCTCCTCCTCCCAGACTAAACAACCCCAGCTCCCTCAGCCTCTCCTCACAGGACTTGTGCTCCAGGCCCTTCAGCAGCCTCGTTGCCCTTCTCTGTATCTGCTCCAGCACCTCAATGTCCTTCCTGAACTGAGGGGCCCAGAACTGGACACAGCACTCCAGGTGTGGCCTCACTAGTACCAAATACAGGGGCAGAATCACTTCCCTGCTCCTGCTGACCACACTGTTCCTGATACAAACCAGGATGCCATTGGCCTTCTTGGCCACCTGGGCACACTGCTGGCTCATGTTCAGCCACTCTCAGTCAGCACTCCCAGGTCTCTTTCTGCCTGGCTGCTCTCCAGCCTGTAGATCTGCAGGAGGTTGTTGTGGCCAAAATGCAGGACCCGGCACTTGGCCTTGTTGAACCTCATACAGCTGGAATCAGCCCATTTATCCAGTCTGTCCACATCCCTCTGCAGAGCCCTCCTACCCTCCACCAGACTGACACTCGCCCCAACTTGGGGTCATCTGCAAATTTGCTAATGATGGACTCAATCCCCTCATCCAGATCATCAGTAAAGATGATAAACAGGACTGTTCCCAGCACTGATCCCTGGGGGACACCACTGGTGACCGGCTGCCAGCTGGATGCAGCCCCGTTCACCAGCACTCTCTGGGCTGGGTCCTCCATCCAGTTCTTAACCCAGCACAGAGTGCCCCTGTCCGAGCTGTGGGCTGCCAGCTTTTCCAGGAGTATGCTGTGGGAGAAGGTGTCAAAGGCTTTCTCTTACATGACCTAGACAGCACAGGTTGTGCAAATATTTGTCATCTGGAATTAAAAAAACTTTGTACTGTTTTTGTTACTGATATACAATGCTGCTGTTGGGACTAAATATGTGATAAAATGTAATTTAAAATTACAGCAATTGTAGAACAAAAGGCTATATTTATTTTTTTTCCATAGGGAGGTCAGAGTGATGGATGTTCTTGGATGGAAGAAATTAATCTAAAATGGAAATCATCCCAGGAATGGTTTAACGTATTTGCTTGCAAGCATTTCTACTTGTCTGGTGCCTACAATTTTTTAAATATACTCAGTGCTCCTGATTTTCCTAGGAAGGAAAGAGAGATATACTAAAATGAAAAGGCTGGTTTTAATCTAGGAGAAAGTTTTTCTGAATGCCAAATGGAAACTGCTTTTCAATAGTCTGCCAAATAACACTTAATGAAATCTTGTAATCTATTTTAAAGTAACTGTCCTTTTTAGGAATGCAGCTTTCATGCAGAGGGATTAATCTTCTGCCATACATGCCTGCATGATTTTCTCTATAGCTTTTTTAGCAAATTTGTTCTATTGCCATTCATTTAATGTGTATCCTACTATTCCATAAAAATATCCATTTAAAATAGTTTTGTTTCTTCATTACAGTATCTCCTGCTGGTGAAGAGGCTATGTTATTTCTGAATAAGTTTGCTGTCTTAATGTAAGTTTTTAGATTGGAATAAAGAGAGAGAAATGAAACACTGAAATGCCATGTTTGGAAGTGTCTCTGTGAAAACTTTGAATTAGTGGGAGTACTTATTGCACAGGATTTATTGACATGGAATCTGCACATACATTTTCTAGGATAACATAGATTAAATACTTTGACATACTTGCTTTGAACCTGGCATTTTAGGATCAGCAGAATGCTCTTCCTTCCCCCCTCTTAGGAGAACACCAAATGTTCGTATAGGTTAAAAAAGGAATGACAAATAAATAAAGGACTAGGAGTAGACAGTAGCTAGCTAATTAGCTGTTAATGGTGCAGAGACTCTGACTTATAGTAGCTTTTTTTTTTTGAGCTTGAAGAGAGAGGATGATGTCAATTGAGTGGATTTGCTTTGGTCATATACAAGGATCAAGACTTTGCTGGTCAGAAGTAGTGAATTTGCTCGTACAAGACCAGTACACGGGTCTTGTACAGATTTGTAAACTTTAGTTCTGTGGTGTAGCATAAAAATGTATGGAAATAAAGAGATCCAGCATTAATGGATCTCTCTATTTAACCATTACCTCAAATTTAATTATGTGGTCTGCTGAGTTCATCACTTAGGTACTTGACATTTATTCCTGATTGAAGAATTTCCTCATATGATAAAGAATCTCTAAAAGAGTTAAAGCAACTTAAACTGTATCAGAAGAAAATAACATATTTTATTTCCGTAATAAAATGATCGTAACAAGTACAGTCTTAAAGAAAAATGAGAATGTATTGTAGCTTGTTAATGTTTTGTTTTAGTTATAGCTGAAAAATCAAAAACATTCTGTCAGATAAAATGGTGTCCATATATGTCATATTCACCGTGGTCTGTATTAACTTAAACTGGGAGATAACGGATGAAGTTCTATTCAAAGAATTTTAATGACCACAAGGGAGATCATTTAGAATGTAGAAAGGCAAATGGAAATGATTAGGTAACTTTTTAAAATTCATACCTGTGGTTCAGCTTCTAAATTTATCTTGAAGGGATGTGCTCTGCCATCTTCTGAAACTTGTGGGGACCATAATTTAGTTCCTGCCCTAGAAAGAGAGAAATGCAGAATTTAAATAACTTGAATTCCTGTAGGGTTGTATGTGTCCCTATGAAATATAAGGCAGCTTGGAAATGTGCAGGTTTTTCTATGCTTTTTTAATGTTTTGACATAAAAAAACTTTGATGATATGTAATCAATACATGTAAAGTGCATTTACTTTTTAAAAAATTATGTATGCTATGAACAACGGGAAATAAATTGTCAGTAGTTTAAATTGTTAATAGTGAGTTGACCAAACTTTTTAAAGTTTTATTTTTTAAATGGTTGATAGAATGAATGTTGGGTCCTCAGAATATTTTGCACAAATAAGTGAATATGATAGCAATAATCCTAAACTAGGACAACTTCAATTTTATTTTTTTTTTTTATGATAACAATATCTATGCAAAGCCTGCTTTTCAATGTAGAGCTTTTCAATGTAGAGGTGCAATCTAAGCATGCAAAGTATGTGCAAGTGTAAATCAAAGTGGCACAGAAGATTCTTTCAGTCATGTAGGCAGGGATAACAAACACAAAAACACCATTTACAATTCCGTTTTCATTGACAAAGTGAAATATGGCAAGTAATTTTAAAGTAGCATAATAGTAATGTTAAATACTAATCTAGTACTGTTTGTTATATAGACACTTATCACATCTTGAAAATGGCTTCCCAAGATGTTGTTAAAAGGCATTTATTAGTCTGTAACAGAATTAGCTGTAGGAATTTTTAACCATGGTGTGTGATCTAGTAATTAGACAATGATCCTTTCAAAAACAACTCCACCTTCTGTATTTGGAAACAAATACTGTGCTCAGCTGTAATAAAGAGCTGTGCTTCCTTGAAGGCCTCAGGTCAATCAGGGCTCTCTTAATTTTAGAGAGAGCTGAAGGAGTGTGCTAAATGATTCTGATTAAAGGCTGAGCAAACTCAGCTGGAGATGTGAAGCTGCAGGTTGTTTCTCTTCCTGGCTCTAGCTAAGAGAAATGAACACAAAAGTTTCTGGACTCCTGCAGTTTAGGTAGGAGAGTGTTTCTTAGTTTTGTTTTGAATATTGATTTGAGAATCCTGTATTTGGCTTAATATGTTGTGACCAAAGGGATTTGCTTTAAGCTTGCTCTTTTGTCACCCTTTACGAATGCCTGACATGATGTCTTCCCTAACTGGGAGCTTTGTCTGGGCTTGGGAGCAGGAGGCAATGATAAGCACCTGTGGTTGAGGAAGTATTAGACCAGAGAGGTCACTGAACAAGTGACAGCTAGATGAGAGTTTTGTTATTTCCCCAAAACATGAGGAACTGCTTGCTTACTGACGGTGAATTCAGGATTTGTGGAGTCAGCAGAGTCATGTGGCAAGTAACCTGAGGGAAACAATTTTTTTTATACCTGTGAAGATGAGTCCTGGGGAGTCTTGGTTGGCCTGGAGCTTATGAGGTGAGTCTGGTTTCTTGTAATTTTAAAGATGTCATGAAATTCTTCAAACTATTTTAAATAGTTATACCACATAATAATTGTAATGTATAATCAGTTGGTTGAGTAGTATCTTCTTTCAGAAATAAGCAGACATGTACACATACCTCTCTATTTTCAAACAAAGCTGATGTGTAGCTGCTTTAATTCTCTCCTGGGCATCATTATGTGTCATGTTCTCTGTGCCTAGACCATCAATAGCTATAATAACATCACCAGGGCACAGGTTGGCAGCTGAAGCCTTGCTTCCAGGTGTAATCTGAAAAGACCAAAATGTAACTGCTTAATCAACAGGCATGCCTGAAAATTGATAGAGAAAATAAACTTCACCATGCTTCCCTGCTTTCTGTTGGATTGGGGAGGTAGGGAGCGGGCCTGTAAACAACTGTATGATTTCCTACAAAGAAAGTGAATTCTTAATTTTGCCAGACACTCTGTAGTTCTTTTGAAAGATCATCATATAAATGTTTTATTTATCATAACTTCAAATTAGATGGAAATTATCTTTACACTTCTGCATTAATTTTCCACTCTGATTTCTGTAGTTACTGTAACTCATCTTTGAATCTTCTTTCTTAACTGCCACATATAACTTGCTTAAAAAAAAAAAGTTATGTTTTCCCCTTAACACCACCAGCAGAAGAAAAGAGCCATTAAGAAATTGTGTTGCTTAATGTTCATGGCTATGATGTGCCCTTGGAGTGAATAATATAGAAAGCACTGTTTAAATATAAGTATAGCAGTTTTCTGTAAGCCTGGCCTTTCGTGTTGTATTGCCAAGTAATCAGAAATATAATAATAATACTAAAATAACATTTTACTCTTTATTTTTGTCTAATTCAGACCCTGAACTCCTTAAAGTGCTTATCTTTAAGTCCCATTGCATTTGAGTAACAGTGACCCTGCTCCTTCAGGGTGATCCATGTGGTGCAATTCATACCTTATGTAAATGTACTACCATCAGAGAAATAGCCCTAAGCTTATCTTTCTATGCTTACCATTTTCTTTTTTTTTTTTTACTTGATGATTTTCTAGATGACTGTTAAAATAATTGAAATGTAACATAATTTTCCTTTAAAATAACTCTTGTAGAGAGGCCACGACCTTAAACTTTACTGAAGCTCGTTGTAGCATTGCAGGCCTCTGTTTGCAAAAGGTGACTTCTCATACCACCACAGCACTTATGCATACCACATGCACAACAGGTCTTAGGTCACTGAGTGGGATTTAGGTCCCTTAGTTGTGTATTGCTATTTTAGGTGACTTTTGATTACCTAGACAACAGTGTGAAATTGATGGATGTGGCACATAAGCTTCTGAAATTCAGCTCTTCTGAAACAGCAGAACGAAGTGGACAGATTGATTCATCCGAGTAACATTAGCTGCTTATTTGTAAGTAAATGAATCCCAATGTGAAGGACGAAAATGTCAACATAGTGTGACTTACAAGAGCAGTTCTTTTATCTGTGGCACATATTAAGTAAAAAAGCTATTGGAGAGAATTTTTCTCAGTGTAGGTTCTGCTACCGCAAAAGCAAGTGTTATCTCGATTATTAAAAGTGATTAAGGAGGACCAGAAAACTTGCTATGGAGACATTCTGCAGTTCTGGTGTTTCACAGTTTTCCAGCAAAGGAGATTAAGCTGCCCAATGTACCTCCAGCACGTTCTGAACCTCAGCCTTGGTGAAGCTGGCAGACTTATCTCTGAAGGTGACAGTACTGTCAACTTAAAAGCCAAGTAGAAACACTCTTTTTAATGAGAGTTTGCTTTGTGGGCTCTTCTTCTGCATTCCAGCACGTGAACTTATTTTTGATGTCACTGTAACAAACTGCAATGCATGTGTTGATATCAAGTCAGACAGACTTTCCAAATGGGTATTTGTGGCCAGCTGGAGGCTTTTACACTCTCACGCTTCAAAATAATGGACTAGTGTACTGTGGGCTTAACAAAGTGTTAAGGTACCTGAATAATCGGTTAGAATTTATAAGCAACTTCCTTCATTCATATTCAAAGCCTGAAATCTCAAAATTTTTCTGTTTCTCAAACTTCAACAACTGTAGGTGTAAAGAAACAGCACCGAGAACCCTTACATCACTATAATAAGATGGGGGATTAGAAGTATGATCGTGCTTCTCCCTTTCACGGGGAATTGTTCCTGACTTTGCTTAGCATGTTGTGAATATGTCTGCAATGACAAACTGCAGCAGAATTCCTAGTGTTCCAGTGTGGCTGTTGATGCTTTAATACCCAAAATGGGCAAACCTAGGCATTCTTGGTTCCCTGTCAAGGGTAAGGTAGCTTGTATGACCCTTATATGGGTTACTCAGTAGATTATGCTTTTTACATGTCACAACAAATCATCTGCTCTATCTGTGACACGCTCTAGCAATGTACTGAGATAATGACCCTGCCATATAAAGCAGTGTATCTGTAGCAGCTGTGCTGCTAATAGGACCTAACCTACTCTGTGTTGATGGTAAATCCCCTGGACTTTTTAAGTTGTCACCAGCTGCAGTGATACCATTTATATGTTTGAATGGGGTTACCAGTTGGTGGGAGCAAGGAGGAAAAGGGCCAGGAGTCTGTGTTTCCTATTCTTTGGCTGAATTGGTTATTGCCAAGCTTCTGAGTTGTGTCTCTTGGTCCTTAACACCTTGATGGGGGTGCTGAGCATTATGTGCCCAGGCCTGCTGGGGTGCAGAGCTACCTGCCCTCATACAATCCTTTCCCTCATCTGATCTTCCTGGGTTTTACAGAAAGAGCCAGTGTTCTGCTGCTAATATGGCTGGGTGTCTCTCAATATGTTGAAGGTGGGAAATCTTGACAGTTGCTTATAGGGCAGGGGGACTGACAAACGTACAGTGGCCTACATTTTATAGAAAGAGGCTGGGTTATTCATTGCAGGATTCCATCATATCATGGGTATAATGTTGATATTGTGGGTACCTCAACAATGTAAGAGTTATTGTTTCTTAAGGGCTTATTAGTTACATATTAAGTAAGTGTGTATTGTTAACACTTAAACTGTGTTATGACTAGTGTTTGTTGCTTGCTCATCTTGGCAGGTGAGGTAGATTCTACTGTTGTTTTGGGAAAATTTTTGTCTTGCTCTTCAGGACATGCCTGTATGCCATGCCTGTTACTTCTGTATCTTAGGTAGCTTGGGTTTGGATAAGTATAAGGATATGTATTGATCATTCAGATGTTGTCACAGGCTATTTAACCACGTACAGGTCAATGTCTCCTATGAAACTGAAGACAACCTCTCTCATAATAGACTTGTAAAGTTTATCATGTTACACCACCATAAATTTTCAGGCTTTATGTTTTCTGAAGATAGCTATGAATGTCTGCAGAATGAATAAATATAAATTTGAGTTAATATGAATACTAGCATTGTGATTGGTAAAGGTCTATATTAAAATAGAACTTAAATCTAGAGTTGATAATATCTCACCATTCCCTCTAAAACTTTAGAAGTCTCAACTGTTCCTGGAATGCTTTATTCAATAGAACCTAAATTCTGGATTGCATTCCTCTAAATGCTTAACCCAAAATGTCACATTATTCTAGTTAGAATAAACTGAAATTATTCAGTTTGATTAAGCTAAGGTTTTGATCAGTTTCAGTAATGCAATTTCTTTGCATCTATGCAAAGTTCCAAGTATTTCAATAAATGTTTCCAGTATTCATAGTTAATTTGTTGTTTCTGATCATAAAAGAATTCAAATATGTCTATTATAGTCCCCTGCTGTTCTTCCTCTCTCCCAGTGATCACGGTCTGTGGTTTTTGCATTTGCTTGAAACAGTCAAAACAGCAGAACAATTTGCAGATGAGCTGTTGAGGTGACATCTGTTCTTTAGACAGGTGGATGGTCTCATGTTGTCTGTCTCTCTCGACAAGTCCTGCTAAAAGCTTTCCTTGTTGAACAAGGACTATAGCCAAACAAATATAACACCTGTCCAATTATTTTATTCAAAATGTATTTGAAAATAATTTCTATTTATTGTTTAATAGCTATTTTTTTTTCATGTCAGGGCAGTTAAGCCAAATGTGAATGGTTGCTGGTGATACCTTTTACAAAAGGAACACTTATGCCCCAAGAGACAGGACTTAAGAATCTTATGAAATGTTCACTATTTCTTAAAGGGTATTGTATGAATACTTATGGCACTCTTCTAAATGTATTCTGTGGTAACAAAAATATTACTTTAAATGAATCTACCATTAATATTCTTGAATTTGAGCCAAGTAAACTTAACCATGTAGTTTTTTTCCTATACATAATTTCATTGTTCTACTTGAAATGTGATTTTGAACATTTCTGTAGTATGCCAGAAACCAATGGCTTTTGCCTTGTGAGGCATTTGGTAGGTATGAGTCAACTGCAAAGTAATTTATTCCTTAGAAAGTGACGTTTATAGTAACATCCTTTGTTATTGCAGTTTTAAACTTCATTGTACTTAATCTAAACACAAAGAAAATACAAGCCAGACACTGCTAAAATATTTTTCATTGGAGATAATGGAAACTATTTTTCTTTTAGAGGCCCATAAAAGGCAATGAAGGTCTCAAAACATTCACAGAATTTTTTTTTTATTATTCAACGATTTATCTTTTTTTCTCTAAAGTCTTTGCTATGTCCTCTGAGTATTTTTCATGTAACTACATTCAGTCAAGTATAATAGCATTCTGATTTACTTCTGTTTAAAATATGTAAAATGTTTTATGCTTTAGCCTAATTTAATAATTTATTCCTGGTTTATAAATTTTTACTAGTTAATATGTGAAAAGTTGATCCTTAAACTTTCTACAGACTCTTGTTTGGAAGTGTATTTACTACAAGGCATCACTAGTAGTATCCATCCATCTTCAAGGTTCTTGACGCTTGCTCAATACTGGGCATAGTGTATGTACTGAGTCATAGTGCAGGGTTTTATTTAAAAAAAAAGAAAAAAAAGAAAAAAAAAGGAAAAGACCAAAAAAAAAATAAAAAAAATAACAATTTGGATGCTCATGGGACACACATTTAGTGTGTCTAAGGTCCTGAAAAGGAGCAAAAATATAGGGAGAACTAATTCTGGTCTGACATGCACTGAACACAATATTCAAAACTATCAAAATATGTATCCTGTCTTTTGAATAGGTCCATGTCTGTAGATGCAGGGCAGCTGACGGTATGTTGTATGTTACATTCATTGAGTAACTGGTTTCTTAAATTCTAGATATTAGTTAATATATTGAAATCCATGAACAAAATGAAGGCTCAGATTCTTACTCTTAATTGGGGAGGGGGGGTGAGGGAGGTAGGTAAACTTTCATTTTCTAAATATGACAGGAAACACAAAATAACTACTTCTTTCATATTGAAGACTGGACAACTTTCTCATAATTCACTGATTTAACATTAATGGAAGTGAAAACCTTCCCATATGTAAAAACAGCTGCTATTGCCTTTGCTGGCAATAATCAGAACTTGGTTTAATTAGATAAGAGTCAGATTAATTTGCAAAGCACAAACTTTCAGACATGAGGAGCTGCTGCCAAGCAGTCTTCACTTCCAGTGATCTGAAAGGCTAGTCATGGAAAGGATAAAAGTGAGGTCTCGCCTTTAGTAGGCTTAAACACAACTTTGAATGCCTGGGAAATCATGCCAACCTTTTTCTGCTGCCAAGGCGCTTGAATTTAATTTTTGAGGCACAAGTAGAAGTGCAGTTAAAGTCTCTTAGACCAATCACAGAAGCCTGTTACACAAAACTTGTGAAAACTGTTAGCATTTCTGCTGACTCTCCTCAGAATTAGCAGCCACTCGTTTACCTACTCACAGTTTTGTCTGCATCTCTGAACTCCAGAAAAGGGCAGAAAATCTACAGCAACTATTAAATGGAATAAATAGAAAGGAAATGTAAAGAGTACATACCCTGGTTATGATTAAGGGTTGGTTAAAATCTATTCCTCCTGAGAGCCTGAATCCCCAGGGTGACGGTCCTTGGAGAATAACGTTTTGTGGCATTGTGGACAGTTTTTTCTTGGTTACTCTTCTCTTTTCCTAAGGTCTGTGTGGGAAGCCGAGCTGTAGGAGGAAGGTTGCTGTCAGCAGAGCACCTGCCGGACAGGGCAGCTGACCTTTTATACCTCTTAAGAAGTTTTACTCATTCCAAAGCTGTGGGCACTGCACTTTATCCCTTCGGGTGACGTCAGCCAGTCCCTCTGCTTCTCCACCCACAGAGGGGAGTATCGTACTCAGACAAATAAAGCTTGAATGCTGGAAAGTTTACAACAAATACATCAGCTTTATCTGCTGTTTCAGCGTCCCCCTCAGCCAGACAATCAGTAAGCTTCAGGATGCAGACTCTTTCTGGTTTCTTAAAGCCACCCTGTTGCTCATTTGATAACATGCTGATTACGTTGCTGGTGCTTGATTCAGCTATGCAATGCAGTGCTTTGACTTTATACGTGACTCTGTTTCATGTAAGCAGAAATTCTGATAAGGAAATTTCCCTTTCAAAGTGTTGTTTTACATCTTCTTTGTAATGTAATAGCTTATTGCACTAAAAAGTCCTTCCAACCCTCCAGCTGCATTTTTTTAGATAGTCACTTGAGACCATGGCATGCACCAGTCCTAATGCCTTGAAAAATCTGGACTGATGTCATACATATTTCTCATACTGAGGAAGAGAAATGCAGTATTAGGTGATGATGTCTTTTTTGCTTTGGAGAAATGTTAGCTTTTTAAGGTAGTTGTCCTTTACTTGTGGCTTGCTAGTAGAATAGTAGTGTTCATCATGGGTTTTTGTAATTGTGTTCTTGTCCAGAATATTTTGAAGACCTTCTCTATTTTCAGTGTGTATTATTTCATTCCCTGATCAGAACAAAACCAATGGTAGTGACTGTTTCAAAGTAAACTATCAGAAAGGATGTCTGTGTCACAAAAAGCTTGCAGTGTGACAGTCATTGTCGGCTTGTGGGGGTACAGCCTGCATTAGGAATGTGAAGGAAGATAGGCACATTTAAAGAAACAAGGCAGGTGTTTAGGTCAGCAGTATCTCCGTCTTGGTAGCTCAAATATTTTTGTATATTTGGAAGTTCAGGAAAAAAAATCCACTACTTCCTTGTGAGTAGAGTATAAACTCTGGTATGTCCTAAACATGTTTGGAGATTGGTTCAGTATATGCCTTCAATATATTGGCACTCTGTGGTTTATCCTGATGGATTACATTGGGTGTGTTCAAGGTCATAATTTATCACCAAGTAGTACTTCAGTTTCTTAACTTTTCTCCTCCTCCCTGATATCTGTTTCAAGTGAAAATCCCTCTCACATTTGCTACTCCTTTTTTTATTCCTCCTTTGCGAGTGAATCCTGTACTGTGTTCTGATTTGTAGCTGGGAACAAATAACACATTAGATGTATTAATTTAAAGAGTTCTTTTGTGTGTAATTTGCATTTTCATTTTTTTGAGTATTGGCAATTTCAAATAGTCAATCCTGCAATGCACTTCAGTAGAAAATGATTGGAAATATAAGAATTTCAGTATCAGGTCAAACTCAGATCATAATCAGGCTCTCAGGTTCCAGTGTCAAAAATTATAATTGCATAATAACTTGTTCACTGCAGAGATTCCTTTCAAGTTCCCGTTATTAAGTTATTGATTTATTTCTTAATATGTACTTTTTGGGTTTGTGGGGTTTTTTATTTTAAGAAACCCAAGTTTGGGGTTGCTGAAGTGTCTGTAAAGTTTGCTCATGTTTCTTTACTATACTGAGATTTGCTCATGTCCCTTTTGAACTTGTTAGACCCATGTAAGAGGAGGGCAGGTCTAACCTTTTTCTGGGCAGGTGATTGCTCTTAATTTCAATGGAAAGCGTCTGCATATATGAAACTGAGCTCTTGCTCAATTTCTTTTCTTTTTTTTTTCGCCCCTGCCTGGTTTAATGGAAGGATGACTTGCTCTCCAAGGTGCTGTTGCTCTGGAGAGCAATTGTAAGATTTTTTTTTTTTTTTTAGAATTACAGAGGGGGAAGCTTTGAAAGGCAATACTGAATTGATACTTGTGACAAAGACTGTTTCCTAGTTTCTATTAAGTGACTATCTTTAAGAGAAAGTCCCTTTACCCGTTTACATAGTATGTGTACTTTTTTTTTTTTTTTTTTTTTTTTT